TTTTTTAATTTCTGTCTAAACTTTTCTAAAATAATATATTGAACGAGCTGCGTAATTTATCAAATTATCGTTTACTTGAGTTTTTGTTTTTATTTATTTTGATGTTCAATTCCTTATTAATTTCGATTTATTTATTTCATTTTACTATTTTTTAATCACTATTAATTTAATCACTATTCCTGAATCAATTTCCACTTTTTAACGGACTTTTATTTAAATCTCAACTGCAGCGCGCGAGCTGAAAAACGAAACTGAGACCCCGAAATCCAAATGCACTTTACCATCTTGTCGTAGCGATTAGTTAGTACATTTTTGCCTCTTTCGAATGCCAACGGCACAGACAACAACAATAATAGCAACAACAATGTTCATTATGCGCTTATTGACACATCGCCATACAATTTTTTCAATTGTCTAAAGTGTAAATTCGTCAGAGGCCGCACGAAACGAAAAGTGGTCGCAGTTTGTATATTTTTCGCACTGCGCGCGCGCTTGAAGGGAGGGTTAAAGTTTTTAAATAGTGTTTCGAGTCTCGGTTTTATTTTCTATTTTTACTTTTTTTTAATTGTCGGCTTACTCGAAAACCTGCAGTGGATGTGTTTGCAATCGAGCTTGAAACGCTCAATTTGCACTTCCTTTATTTGCACAGTTTTTGTTGACACTTGCGATTAACAATATGCACATAGTGTTGCGCAGTCAGGAAGTAAAGGGTAAATATTGACTTGCAAATACAATTCAATTAGCAACAGCCACTGCACAAAAGTTTTTGTTTTTCTTACTTGTCATTATTTTTCTTTTCGAAATTTAAATATCAATAATTCGTGATGGCGACATCTAGTGGAAGATATTAACATTACCCAACCTACTTTTCAACACTGTCCCCGTATATTGTAAATGAGAGCAATTAATTAAGCACATTGTAATATTAAAATATGCTTTTCATTATTAAATCTACTTTTCATAAATTACGTAAATGGTAACATTACTAATTACTGAAAATACTTTAACTATATAATATCGCAGCTAATGAACTTACACAATAGCGCGCACTTGACCAGCAACATATCGATTACCATCAGCACATCTATCGATACTTTTGTTGCTGTGCATTCCTGTGCACTGTGGCTGCTGCCAACTCGCAAGTTGCCTTCAAAGCGAAAAACATTACAGAAAATCGAAATCAAGTGCGTAAATAAACATAAAATACAGGCAGGACGCGTAAATAGCGTAACGTAGCAACCGCTAAGGCGTGCAAGGTGCCGGCTGCCTAAGCAATCGGCTCCGAGCAGACGTAGCCTTCTTATTGTTTGGGCTTGTGCGTATGTATATATATAAATCTATATGTATGCGTGTGTGTGTGCGTGTTGTATTTGTGCTAGTATTGAAACAATAACAAGCCCAGCAAAATGCCAATGAATTATAACGGAGCAGCGTTCAATGCGGTCGCTGCCTTTGTGCTGCTGCAGCAGCAGAAGCAGCGATGATTCATAGGTAAGTTATGCGACAGGCTTACCGCATATTTAATTCTATATACAAATGTGTGGACATAAATAATTGTATGTGTGTGTGGGCCTGGCTTACCGTACGTACATACATATGTATGTTTATTTGTAGCCCGCAATAATTGTTACAGCAACAACAATAACAACCGTGGCCGTGCCTTAATATAATAACGTAGAGCAATAAAACATAAAACAAACCATTCACACGAATCGGTAAAATGCCGCTGCTGTCCAAATGCTTCCCTTGCTTCAAATTTAAACGCGAAGAGGTCATCGACAAGCTGGACTATAGCAATACACCGCTCCAGGATGCCTTTCCCGAGGTGTGGCAACACGAGCGCACTCTCGAGGAACTGCATCTGAGCAATGCGCGGGTGAGTTGCACACTAATAAAAATGAATATTCACTTTATAATTGATTCATCATTTCAGCTGCAAACATTGCCACCGCAGCTGTTCTACTGCCAGGGACTGCGAGTCCTTCAGGTGAACAGCAACAATTTGGAGAGCATACCGCAGGCAATTGGTTCGCTGCGTCAATTGCAGCATTTAGATCTGAACCGCAATCGTTAGTTTTACAGAAAATTATAAAATCCATCTTCTAATACAATTCCCTTTGCAGTTATTGTCAATGTGCCGGAGGAGATAAAGGCGTGCAAGCACCTGACCCACTTGGATCTCAGCTGCAATAGTCTGCAACGTCTGCCGGATGCGATAACATCGCTGATATCGCTGCAAGAGCTGCTGTTGAACGAAACCTACCTGGAGTTCTTGCCGGCCAATTTCGGACGACTCGTCAACTTGCGAATCTTGGAGGTGCGCCTCAACAATCTCATCACGTTGCCCAAGTCAATGGTCCGCTTGGTGAATCTGCAGCGACTTGATATTGGCGGCAATGAGTTCACCGAACTGGTAAGCGCATAACAAAATAAAACTCAAATGTATTTAAACATAATTTTGTTTCTATTAAAGCCTGAGGTCGTTGGAGAACTAAAGTCGTTGCGCGAGCTATGGATTGATTTTAATCAAATACGTCGTGTGGCTCCCAATATTGGCAAACTGCGGGACCTGCAGCATTTCGAGGCCAATGGCAATCTGCTGGACACACTTCCCAATGAGCTGAGCAACTGGCGGAATGTCGAGGTATTGTCCGTGTGCTCCAATAATCTGGAGGCGTTTCCCTTCAGCGTGGGCATGCTCAAGTCGCTAGTCACCTTTAAATGCGAGTCGAACGGGCTCAGCGAGCTGCCCGATAGCATCAGCTACCTGGAGCAACTGGAGGAGCTGGTGCTGAGCCACAATAAGCTGATGCGTCTGCCCAGCACAATTGGATCGCTGACCAAACTGCGCTTCCTCTTCGCCGATGACAATCAGCTGCGGCACCTGCCCGACGAGCTCTGCAGCTGCAGCCAACTGAGCGTGCTGAGCGTGGCCAACAATCAGCTATCTGCGTTGCCGCAAAATATCGGACATTTGGCCAAGTTGAAGGTGCTCAATGTGGTTAATAACTACATTAACGCGCTGCCCGTTTCCATGCTGAGCCTGGTGAATCTCACGTCTCTGTGGCTCAGCGACAATCAGTCGCAGCCACTGGTGCCGCTGCAGTATTTGGATGCGAGCAGCAAGACGCAGCTGACGTGCTTCATGCTGCCGCAGGTGACATTAAAGATGCAGGCGCAACAGCAACAGCAGGTCCAGGATCAATACGAATTCGTCTACGCGAATCATGCGCAACAGCCGCAGCATCCATCGAGCCCATCACGTCGCATTTGCTTCGCCGAAGAGACGACCATTCTAAGTGCGGGCGACACCAATAGCAATGGCAATGGCAATAGCAACAGCAACAGCAACACGAACACCAACAGTGCACCACATCCCGCGCGCAGCTACCCCGCCAGCTATGTGACGGCGCCGCCCACGCCGGAGCAGTTGCCCGCTGGCAGTTCGGTGCGTCTGATGCGTTCACCCACGCCGTACCCCAAGGAGCTGCGCCAAATGGCCAAGTATATGCGACAGGCGCAGGCGGCGAATGCAGCGGCAGCGGCTGCGGCGTCAGCGTCATCGAGTGAGGTGCGCGAGGCGCGTGTCGTGGTGCCCAATGGCCAAGTGGCCATGCCACACTGTGATAGCAATCAGGACGCTGTGGATCACACAGCAAGTGCAATATATGGCGTTGCGCCCGAGGCGGCCCACATTTATGGTGTCTATCAGCCGGCGCAGCAACAGACGCCGCAAGAATATTATGGCATGCCGCTGGTCAATTACGATGCGCACTACCAGCAGCTCTATGTGGATGCCAACACGTTGCCGCTGCCAACGACGCATTTGTCCAATGGCACCGAGGAGAACTATGAGCTGCAGCCGCTGCAACCGCCACCGGCGGCGCCACCACCACGCATGGAGCCGCCGCCTTATCACATAGCGCGAGTGTATACAAAGAAGACGCCAGAAGATCTCACGCTCTACGAGTCAATGCGACAGCGCAAACACCAACAACAACAGCAACAGCAGCAGCAACAACAACAACAGCAGCAGCAGCAACAACAAATGTCGCCAACACAATCACTCTACGAGCAGAGCAACCAGAGCTACCAGGATGCACTAAACAGCAACTTCAAGACGACAGCAATTGGTGCGCAATCTGAGGAGCTGGACTACCAAAATAATATCAACATTGAGCAGCTGGAACTGCAGCAGCAGCAGCCGGAGCAGCAACAGGAGGTTGATGAGCTGCAACAGCAGCAGCAGCAGTTGCAGGAAATGGATGATACGTTATCGCAGCACTCAGTCAACTCCACGGCCACCAACAATACGTCCAGGGGTGGTAAAAAGTCAACCTGGATATTCGGGGTGCACAAGAATCCGACTGTTAAGCAAGTGACGCTCAAATGGGAGCACAGCATCGGCTTTGATGTAGCCGAGCTGCTTAATCAAGTGAGTATTTGCTTTTACATCATATTAAACTTCAAACTAAACATTATTCGGTTGCTTTTCAGGTGGGAATCTTTGTGAGCGCCATAACGCCAAATTCGAATGCTGCGCGGCTGCTGAGCCTCAACGATAAGCTGCTGGAGATCGACGGCTATGACCTGACCAATGCCAATCTGAGCGATGCCAAACGTGTTCTGCATAATTGCGGCACAGTTATTAACATAATGCTGTCACGCAAGTGACCGGCCCTTTCATGCCCCACTCCCCCCACGCCTCTATATACCGAGACCGAAGACTTTTGCGCATTTTTCTAAGGCAATTTTGCAATAAGCTAATTGAAATCTAGCAAACCATAAACATTAACAAATGCATTTCCAAGCCATAAACGTCCTTTGCACTGGCGCCTTAAACTTATAGTAATTAGAGTCACAGACGACATAACATAACCAGCTTCCAGTTGATGCATTTCATTTAGTTAGATACGATATCAAATGCCATTGTTTATGTGTAATTCTCACTATTATGTTCTCAACAAATTGGATTCTCTCGTTGGTTTAAAACACATTGATTATTATATGCGAAAAGGTGGTTTATATTTAGATATTCGAACTGTAAATTAAGTTAAATGTATTTCACTTTCTCGCCTCTGAAACTGTTTTCAAACTTGTTACTTGATCATAATAATTGTATTAAACTTGATAGCTTAAGCATTAATTAAGAATGAATTAGGTTTTCGTGCGGAGTTTCAAAGTGAAAGAGTACTCGATTGGTATTCACAGTAAAGCAATATATTTTTGTTTCTTTTCGTTTAATATATGTATATTTCTTGAAAACATTAAACATATTTATTTGTATCTAATTCGTATAGTCTATA